ATCCCATCCCCATCCCCATCCCAAACCCCATCCCAAACCCCATCCCAAACCCCAACCCCATCCCAAACCCCATCCCAAACCCCATCCCCGCCCAGCTCCCTGCCCTCCTGCCTGCTCACTGCTCCGCTCCTCGTGGTGAATCCTGCCTGAATCCACACCCAGGCTCGGTGCTGCAATCTGCATTCTGCCCCATCCCCAGCTCTGGGTGCTGGGACTGCTGTGTCCCATTGAAAAGCTGTGCCTGAGCACTTTGGAGTGCTTTAAAAACCAAATATTTTGAAATATTTTCTGTGGTAGAGCTTTGTATGCATTTGAAAACTCAAGAATACTGATCAAGTCTCCAGAGACTTTACAGAGAGAATCCCTGCCTCCCATGCCATGTCATTTTCTATGGTTACGTGCTAAGTTTCTAGAAATACTGTGTTTGTATGTCCTGCAAAAGGAGGGAAGATATTCTGATGGCCTTCCTGTTGCTGCTGGAGGTAACAGAGGCAGACAGATCACAACTTGATTTTCAAACTGTGCGCCAAGTTTCCCATTCTAGAAGGTAAAAAACTAATGAGTTCATAAAGTAGAAAAATGGCATTTTACCTGAGGAAGTTCTGGGAGAAGGACGTGTGTGACAATGTCAGCACATTCATCTGCCAGCCCCTGCCTGCTTTTATCTTCTGTGGATGGTGCCTGGCCCCAGAGCAGCAGATCCACACCCTGACACAGCCTGTGGTGCTCGCTCCAGCCATGGCAGGGGGCAGCCCAACCTCTGCCTGTTTTCTGTCCCAGGGGTTTCCAGCCTGCCAAAGGAGCCCCTCCGGACCCAGCTGCCCTGGGTGGTGAGAGCTGTGCTGAAAGTCAGACTGAAAATGGCACTTTAGGCAAGGCCAAGAATCTGCTGCTCCCTAAGAAGCCCCGGCTGAGTCTGGGATTGTGCCAGGCCCAGTGGCCAGCAGCTCTAACTCGGGGTATCGTGGCCATCTGGAATCCTTTGAGGTGTTTTAAGGGGTGAAATTCAAACCCAATCCAGAACGCAGCCCTTGAGGAAGCTCAGCCTGGGGAGAGGCCTCTGGCTGCTCATCCAGGACAGGCTCAGCCCCACTCCTGGGGGTGCATGTGTTTGGCCAGGGGCCACAGATGCTTTTGGCTCCCCCCTGCCTGCCCAGCCCGTGCCCTGTGAGCGATGGGTGCCCTGCAGGGGCTCCTCCCGGCTCTCCCGTGACTCGCACCGCTCGCCGCGCTCGGGGCATCGTCACCCCTGTGACACAGACTGGAACCAGGACTCAAAACTGTATTTGCTCTCTTGCAGGGCAGCCCCGATTGTTTCACTTTATACAGTGCGTTGTTGTTCTTCTTCTACTTTTCGCAGCAACTCGTTTTTAATTCAGTTACAAACTGCTTGGGACCACGCAAGTTCCTGCACAGTGGGAAGCTCTATAAAGCCAAGAGTAACAAGGAGCTGTATGGTTTTCTCTTCAACGACTTCCTCCTCCTCACTCAGATCATAAAACCTCTTGGCTCTTCTGGCACAGACAAGGTCTTCAGCCCCAAGTCCAACCTGCAATACAAAATGTACAAAACTGTAAGTGCTGCTCCGGCACGGGGATGGGGCTCGGTAGCTCCATTCTGGAGATGTTCTGGGATCTTCTTCCCAGAGAAGAGGTTTGAAAGCTTTGAGGTTCAGGGCTGGTGGCAGGAAGGGTGTGCTCCAGTGAGATAAGAACAGATGTTTTTGAGGTTTTGCTTGAATAAAACCCTTCTATGAGGGCTCGTGTGCTTGAGGGAGCAGAGGGAGAGTGGTGCTGGCTGTTCTCTGCAGGAGGAAACTGCTGTGCTTGGCTGTCTCCAGGAGGGTTCCCAGGCTATGCTGGCACCTCTGTCTTTGTCAGCTTTTAAAATTTTCTGCAGAAAGATGGGAGGCAGAAGTGGGGAGATACTTGGGGGACAGAATAAACCTGCTGTGAGCTGATGTGTGCTGAATGCCCCCGTGCAGACTCTGCAGTACAACTCCAGCTCTGCTGATGTTTTACAGCCCATTTTCCTAAACGAGGTACTGGTAAAATTACCCACAGACCCTTCTGGAGATGAGCCCATCTTCCACATCTCCCACATTGACAGAGTCTACACGCTCCGGGCCGAAAGCATTAATGAAAGGTAGGTGCATTTGTGGGCCTTTAAAAAGTCTGGTGAATGTGGGATGGGAATGGTTGTGATGGAAACTTGCAGAGCACTCTCCAAGCTGGTTGTTTTACAAGACTGGAAAACTCCTTCTTGGAATATGGTGACCTGAAAAGGAAGGAGAAATAATGATGTTTCCTGAATTCCAGCTAGACCAGTGAGGAAATGGCTGAGGGTGGATGTTTAGGCTGCATTTCACATGGTAATGTGAAGAGGCCAAAGATGCAATTCTATCTTCTGCTGTTAGCTGGGATAGTAGAAGATGTCCCTGAGGGGGACTGGATGAGCTTGAGGATGTTTCCCAGCACAAACCATGAATGTTCTGTGAAGCAGCAGCTCTTCATTTGGGGCTCCAAAGTTGATCCACAGCTTTCAGATTCTCCCATGTTTCCTTGACTCAGGCCCCCTTGTATGTCACAGCAGATTTTCTAAGCCCTTGAGGTCCCTTAGTAGCCCTTCTGCCACCCTTTTTCTCTGTCAGCCTTCCCCCTCAGCTGGGATTGTTGGGATCAGGAGCAGACTCAGTGATGTTTGTGGGTCCCTTCCAGCTCAGGATGTTCTGTGATTCTTAAGCATGAAATGATTTCCCAAAGGGCCCATTCACCACCCGTGGACTCCCCAGGTTACACTTTTGAAGTGCTGAGGATCACAAGAACTGGGTAGGAAATCTCAGGGACCAAGGACAGTGACCACCTCAGCAGCACCAGTGTCTGGTACCTCCTGGCTCCAAGAACTCCATTTATTTCAGGAAAACAAAGGGCTGGATGAAAGCAAACCTGATCTTTAGAACTTTGGTTTTCTCACCAAGCATCTCCTGCTCGTGGTTCTCTTGAGCTTTCTTTGTGTGGTGGGGTTTGCTTCCCTGGGATGGTTACATTCTGCAGGTGCTGTGAGTTCCAGTGAGATCCCTTCCAGGATCAGGCAGCTGTGGGATGGCAGGGCCTGGGATGGGGCCAGAGCCTTGCCTGGGAAGGAGGGACAGCTTTTGTTATGTCTGCTGTGCTCCAGCATTTTGCAACATTTTTTTCTCCTTTCCTTCTGAAGGACTGCCTGGGTCCAGAAGATCAAAGCTGCTTCAGAACTTTACATAGAGACTGAGAAGAAGAAGAGGGAAAAGGCCTACTTAGGTACAGCGTAGGATGTGGGACTCATCTTCTGTGGAAAAGTCCCTGGGCAGGAAAATCCACTGGTGACATTTTCTCTGTGCTCTTCTGTTCCACCACAGTTCGCTCTCAGAGAGCAACAGGCATCGGGAGGCTGATGGTGAACGTTGTTGAAGGCATTGAACTGAAGCCCTGCAGGTCCCATGGTGAGTGCCTTGGCTTTCTCTGCTCCATCCAGAAGATGTTCCCTTCTGCCAGCCTGACTGCGCAGGGTCTGTCCCAGACACGACTTTGTTAAATGACGTGGGTTTAGGGAATAAATGGGCAGAGGTGAATTTGTGCAGCTGAGCCGTGCTCCTGCAGCTGTCCTGCGTGAAGCTTTTGTTTCAGACTGGCTTCGTTTCCACCGCACAAGCCACAGAGTCCCACAGGGAAGAGTGGAGGGTGCTCAGCACCCAGCAGAGCAGAGTATTCACTGTGATGTTGATGTAGCCCATTACAGAGGTGGTGAAGCAGAGCCTGGATGGGGCCAGAGCCTGGGATGGGGCCAGATGCCTGGGGTGGCCAAGGTCTTTCCCAGCTCAGCTCTGTCGGAGCAGAGGGATGCTCCTGAGCAGGATCACGCTGCTAAAAAAGCCCCGCTGGTTTCTGTTTGTTCCCATCTTCCCAGGAAAGAGCAACCCCTACTGTGAGGTGACCATGGGCTCTCAGTGCCACATCACCAAGACCATCCAGGACACCCTCAATCCCAAGTGGAATTCCAACTGCCAGTTCTTTATCAAGGACCTGGAGCAGGACGTGCTGTGCATCACGGTGTTCGAGCGGGACCAGTTCTCCCCGGATGGTGCGTGTGGGGCTGCCCCTGCCAAGAGCATTTGCAAAGCTCTTTTTTGAGGAGGAGCATTCCTGCTTGAGGGAAATCGGAGGCAATGGGCTGGGTTGGGAGATGATCATTAAAGATACCCCAGGCTTGACCCTCTTTGCATATTTAGGAGTCAACTTGCCCTTGCTCCACCCCAGTATCAGCACAAAAAGGATGCAGCTCCCTCTGGGTTTTGACAGTTCCTTTTCTTGTGCAGTTGACAACAAGTTAAGTGTGGTTTGTAATTCTGCTAAGGCTCCAGAAAGCTCAGGATGCTGCTTGCACATGGATGGGTTGAGGCAGGAGGAAGAGAAATGACTTTGAGTTCCTGTTATATGCAGTAACAGTAGCAAAAATGAGCCCAGGATTCCAAACCTGATAGAATTGTGGAACAGTTTGGCTTGGAAAGGACCTTAAAGATCACCCAGTTTCAGCCCCTTCCATGGGCAGGAACCTCCCACTACCTCACGTTGCTCCAAGCCCCATCCAGAGTGGCCTTGAGCACTTCCAGGGGTGGGGATTCCACAGCCTCTCTCAGTTCATAAGCTGGGATAAACACAGGAGCATCACAGGGTGTATTTTGGAGACACAGCCTCTCCAGCAGAGTTTGGATAGGACTGCTGCTGGCTCACTGACCTTGTTGCTGGGCTGATGCCCTGCTTGGCTGTGTCATCTCCAGCAGGTTCACTCTCAGGTGTAACTGTTCAGTAACTGTTGGCCTTCTGCTAACATACCATAAAATCCAGAAGTCCCTGAAGTGAGGCAGTTGTGAATTCCATGGTGGGTTTTTCCACTCATGGGCCCGTTTAGTTTTAATGCTGCTGCTGTTTAGCCATGGTCTGGCCAAATCCCCTTCTCTGCAGCCTTTGGCCCCCTTCAAGTGCACAAGCAGAGCTGGACTGAAGGTTTGTTTTCTCTTTTGCTGTGTGTGGGTGGAAGTTCAGGTCTTTCTGCAGACTCTGGGTTCCCTTTCCTGAGCACGCGGTGTTTTTGCATTCCAGACTTTTTGGGCAGGACAGAGATCCGTGTGGCAGACATCAAGAAGGATCAGGGTTCCAAGGGACCAGTTACGAAGTGTCTCCTCCTGCACGAAGTCCCCACGGGAGAGATCGTGGTGCGCCTGGACCTGCAGCTGTTCGATGAGCCTTAGGAGAGAGGGGCCGGTATCGGAATTCAGCCAGAGGTCACTGCAGGAGGTGTCTGCAGAAGCTGTCACTGAGTCCTTGCTGGTGTGGCATGAAACTACTGCTCGCCCTTCACACGTCAGAGGGTTATCAAAGCAAACAGGAGCATCTTTGTGCCTTGATAATTCTCACTGAACACATGAATCCCAATTTGGTGAGGAGATCTCTGTCAATCTCTCTGTGTGGAACTTGGCGTTGCTTTCCTGGGCTGGTGAAACAATCCTGTTGTTCCCTGTTGTGCCGCAGTCGGGAGGGCTGGCAAACCACATGGGTGGCTCTGCTTGCTCCAGTTGCCCTGCTCTTTAATTCCCATGGAGGAGGCAGTGTGGGTGTGTTTTGGAGGCTTTCTGAGGGTTTTCCCCCTTCAGGAGTTCTGTGCCTATTGCTCAGCAGAGTGGTGTGTAAATGTGAGTGAATGGAAGGAGCGGTCCGCAGCAAGATCTGCAAAAGATCTTCACGACGGTACTGAAAAGACTTAGAAAATAAATAGTCTATATCTATAAACAGAGAAGATTCTATTAACATACCACTTCATGACTCGTGTTGCCCCTGAAAATAGAAGATGTCCAGGCCTTCTGCACAGAGGTGAATGGCGCTCCAACCCCCGGTCCCTTTGGGAGTCGCTGCTGTCCCCAGGAGTGTCCGTGCTGGGGCAGGGAGCCGAGGGTGAGGCCCAGAGCCCTGCTGGGTGCCGTGTGTGACTCCTGGCTGCTGCTGCTCCAAGGGCCAGCGGCACCTGCCCTGAGGGAGAAGAAACCAGCTCCGTGGTCATGGCTCCAGCGAAGTTCCAGCCTGCAGAGCCGGGTGTGCAGGGCAGTCTGTGGTGCCCAGGCAGGGAGCTGAGCCCTGCTCACCTTGTGCAGCCCCGTCCTGCAGCTCCCCAGGGAACCCAAAGCCATCGGGGGAATGCCAGGGCTCTCCATCCTTTTCACCCCATGGATAACAAGGTCCAGGCCCACATCCCTGTTTGGCAAAGCTCCCGGCTCCAGGCGGGCACCGACGTCTGTGTGAGTGCTCTGCTGAGTCCGGACTCGGGGGACAAAAGATCCCTGAGAGTCAAATTCCTCTTTGTTCTGCTTGGATTCCTTTTGTTCATGCCCTGCCACGCATCCACTGGTATTTTTGTAAGGACTTCATTCCGGATGGGAGGTGCCGGCCCGTGTCATTCGCATGTGAACGTTCTCGTGGAGCTGTTGTTAGGTTTCGGTGTTCCTTGCATGTCCTTTCAGTACTGGTTCCCACCTCTCCTGTGTCGGCGGTGTTCTCTAGCACTCCAAGTCTTATTGGTTTCCATTAGGAAATTAGGATATATCCATAACAGGTAGGTAGATCAGTATGGTAATAAGTGTAAACTGTGCTGGGAAGTGTCTGTGTATTATAATTTCCTAAAAGACCACTGTAATGTTTCAAGCAATGGGAAGGAAAAAAAATGTATGTTGGAGGGACAACAAAGTTTACATTTCATACTTTTCAGAATCGCTTTATTATTTATTTATTGAAGATAGTGTAGAATTTTGTATCAGAAATGACAGACATACTTATGTATTTTTTGAAACAAAACAGAGATACACACTTTAGTTAGAAACTTTCAACTGACCACATTTTAGAGGGAGTGTGACTTCCTAGGCATGCATTTGTTTACCACTAACTGGCTGAAAACACAGTTAAGAAAACTTTAAGTTTCTATTTTTCAATGTTGTTAAGAAAATTGTTTCAATCAAAATATGTAAATAGTACTAAACCCATGCTTTCCTAATTCCATATCAATACATTTTATTAAATATAATGTATATGAAAATACACATTGTTGTGGTAGGATAAAAAAAAGTGATAAAATCTATTACTGGAGTACCATTAAATGTCATTGTCTAACCTTTTATTGCTGTCCTAATTTTACTCAGAGCTGCCAGCAGGGTGAACATTCATTTCAGGGTTTCACAAGTAGCATCACTTTTTTAATAGTGTCATTTCACCAGCATCAGTTACAGTGACGGCTGAACTGGCCAAAAGGACAAAAAAATCTCGTGTCTGGAACGCAGGAACCTTGGGCAGGGTTTTGGAGGGAGCCCCAAGGAGCTGAGGCTCATTTGGTGCTGCAGGTGGGGGACCTTTCCCTCAGGTTGAGCCATGTCATGGGCATCACAGAATCCCAGATTGGGTTGGGCTGGAGGGGCCTCAGAGCCCACCCATTCCCAGCCCTGCCATGGCAGGGACACCTCCCACTGTCCCAGGAGCTCCCAATGTCCAGCCTGGCCTTGGGCACTGCCAGGGATCCAGGGGCAGCCCCAGCTGCTCTGGCAATTCCATCCCAGCCCCTGCCCATTCTCTGAGAGGGGCTGCTCCCCCTTCCCCATCTCACCCTGGCTTTTTAGTGCACATTTTGGTTTTTGCCAAACAAATGGTATGGATTAGTTTCCTTTTCTTTTTTTCTCGTAAGAAAATCAGAGAAAAGTTCAACCATCTGTAGAATTTGTATGATCCTAAAAATTATGAAGGCATTATCTGGCAATAGGAGAAAAAGTTACTCTTTCTTTCAAGAAAATGCAATTAATTTTATTGTTCATTTGCAGCACATTTAACTATTCCTCAGTAAAATATCTGTACTGTGAAGACGGCTCCTGTTGGTTATTAAGGCATTTGCAATAGGTATGCATCAGGCAGCACTGTTTCTCCTAATACCATTTTAACTTACTTCAGTTGCTGGGAATGTCTTGTTTCCTCAGTCCCCCCTTGTTTAAAAATTCTATTTACAAACAAGTTATAACTAAATAAGAGTCCTTAAACTGTGCCCCCTGTGTGGGGCTGGTGCAGCTCCCTGGTGTGGGGCTGTGCAATGTGGGACACGGCTGAGACTGGGCTTGTGCAAGTGAATGATGCAAGAATAAATGCAGGGTTTTTAAAGTTTGCCTGTGTGCTGTCACATTCCTGAGAAGTGCTGGAGAAGAGGGAGATGGAGTCAGGAAATTGTCAGCTCTTCCCTCAAGCTCCAGGCTCTGCTCCTGCCACAGGGACAGCAGCTTGTGAGAGCGGCTGCAGCTGGCCCAGCAGGGATTTAGGTTGGCTTTTAGGGCAAGGCTCTTCTTTCCCCAGAGGCTGCTGGCACTGCCCAGGCTCCCCAGGGAATGGGCACGGCCCCGAGGCTGCCAGAGCTCCAGGAGCATCCAGGGATGCCCAGGCTGGGCTTGTTGGGGGGTCTGGGCAGGGCAGGGGGGCACTGGGGGATCCTGGGGGTCCCTCCAGCTCAGGATATTCCATGAGTCCATGACTGTTTATGCTGCCAGCACCCACCTTGCTCTTGAGGTGGACCAGGCACAGACAAGCACAACAGGAAAAAGCAGCATTTTTTATTAACATGTTGTGATCACCCACCCATAAAGGGAAGGAAGCACCCAAGAACCGTAAATGCTCAGGAACAAAAGCAACCACAAAAGCCGGAGCATCCACAAAATAATCAAAAACTTCTGTTAAATACTTACAAATATTTTTATTAATATATTAATGTTTTGTTAATTATGTTAACAAATGACTAGTAAGTTAATAGTAGTAGTAAGTTACAGTAGTACTAACTTAAAGTAGTAGTAAATTAATGATTTACTACTACACAACTGCTACATTACTCCCTAACCTACAATAAAAACACAGGGCAATGAGTTTGGGATAAAGGGAAAGGGTGAAAGGGCAGAGAGAAAGGAAAAGAGTTAAAAAGGGCAAGACTTTCACTCCTGGCCACTGAAAGACCAAGAGAGAAGAAAAGAGATCATCAGTCTTGGCTCCAGCGCGGTTCCAGCTGATAGGACATCACTCCCGGCTCCAGCATGGTTCCAAGGAGAGGGGATGACACTCCTGGTTCCCACGTTGATCCAGCTGTTGGGATGTCCAGGGTCATGGGGTTGGTGGAGGTACCCTTTTATGGACTGGCTTCCCCACCCTGAAACGGGTTTCTCACCTCCATGCAAATTGGGTCTCTTGCACAGTCTGTCCTTTCAGACCCTTCTGGAAAAGGGTCAGCAGCTTTGGGGGTCTTTAGTGCTTTTGATCCTCACAATGGTCCATGGCCACTTCTTGGCCTGAGTCCTGCACTTGCTGGGTCAGGTTGTGCTGATCTCCAGGAACCACAACCGGGACGTTTCTCCCACCCAAGTGCTGCTCTGCCTCCGTCTCCAGGCCCAGTCTGGCACTGCCGTGGGCGCTACTCCTCTGGCTGTGTGCCCAGGCAGGGACACCGGAACAGCCCCGACAGCAGGTGGGGACACCGGAACGGCCCCCGCACCACAGAGCGGCACCGGAACAGCCCCCGCAGCGCCCGCAGCGCCCGCCTGAAGCGGGAGGGACGTTTCTCGGAGACCTGGCTCTGTGCCTCTGTCACTTCTGTCACCTCTGGACCAAGAGACTCACTGGGCTTCTCCTTAGAAGCTGCCAGCTCGGGCAGGGCACGGGCTGCCTCTGCTGCCACCCTTGCACCCACATGCCTGGAGCAGCTGGGTCCCTCCAGAGGGTCCTCATCATCCACCAGGCCCATGGAGTTACTCCAGCTGTTGTCCTGGATGTCATCTTCCATCTCTTGGACTTTGCAGTGCTTCCCTTTTGAAAGCACATTGTCACCGACGTTGAAAGCAAGAGATGACAGGGAGTCCAGCAGGTCTTGCCATGGGGTCTCCTCCTTGCACCATTTCAGTTTGGACAGTCCTTGGTATCTGTCAGCTTTGTTCTCTTCCTCCTCCTCAGCACCATAATCATTGGGGAAATTGGCTTCCAGCCATTCCAGCACCTTCTGATGTCTCGATATCTCTTCCATTTCTGGCAGTTCAGGTGACGAGCTTGAATCTCTGTCCATACCACCAAGCAGGGCCATCCTTGTCAGCTCTCCATCCTTACATTCTTCCCTGTGGGAGAGTGCTTCATCCTCTTCTTCCCAATGGCAGAGCTCTTCATCCTCTTGTTCTTCCCATTGGGAGAGCTCTCCAGCTTCATGTTCTAGCCATTGGGACAGCTCTTTTTCACTCTCCTTTTCACCTGGGGACAGCTCCTTGTCACTCTTGCTGTCCCCTCGGGAGAGGTCATTGTCGCTTTCCATTGGGTACAGCTCCGTGTCATTTGTGCTGTCCTCAGGAGCGACCTCGATGGCCTCTTCCACTGAGGACAGCTCTTCATCAGTCAGACTGTCCCTTGAAATTACCTCAGTGGCCTCTTCCACTGGGGACAGCTTCTCGTCACTTGTGTTGTCCTCTGCAATGCCCTCGATGTCCTCTTCCACTGAGGACAGCTCCTCATCTGTTGGGCTGTCCCCTGAAACAACCACGATGGCTTCTTCCACATGGGACGGTTCCTGGTCACCTGTGCTGTCCCCTGCAATGCCCTCAATGGCCTCTTCCAAAGGGGACAACTCCTGGTCACTTGTGCTGTCCCCTGGAATCACCTCGATGGCCATTTCCACTGAGGACACCCCTGGCTCACTGTTGCTGTCCCCAGGAGAGAGCTCAGTGGCCTCTTCTACTGGGGACAGCTCCTCATCACTTGCGCTGTCCCCTGGAGAGAGCTCAATGTCCTCTGTCACTGGGGACAGCTCCTGGTCTCTGTCATTTCTCCCTCGGGACAGCTCGTTGTTATCTGTTTTTCCTGGAGCTGTGCCCGTGAGGCTGCGCTCCATGACTCGAGCCCCCGAGGGGATGGGTGGCACAGGCTGCAGCTGCCAGCTCGGGGACACACGGGCTGTGCCCTCCTGGGCCACCCTGAGCGGGGGCAAGAGCACCCTGGGCACGGGGGTGTGTGGCTGCCCAGGACAGGGGCTGCAGGGCTGGGGCCCCTTCTCTCCTGCGCTCCCCAGCTCTGTGCCCTGGCTGCGAGTGTCCCTGGGACTCACCAGGCAGGGCAGTGGTGGCAGCCGTGGCAGCTGTGGCAGTGGTGGCAGCCGTGGCAGTGGTGACAGTGTTGGCAGTGGTGGCAGCTGTGGCAGCCGTGGCAGTGGTGGCAGCCGTGACAGCTCTGGCAGCTGTGGCAGCTGTGGCAGCGTTGGCAGCCTGTCCCCACAGAGGGACAGGGCCCGGCTCCGGCTGCCCTGCGGTGCTGCCTGCGGCTGCCTGAGCTCCACTGGTGAGACCGATGGTTTGTTCAGGTTTTTGGGTCCCACCTTTGGCTGCCTGAGCTCCACCGGTGGCAGCTTGAGGGGCACCTGTGAGGAGGATGAGGACACGTGCGACGGAGACGGCTCCCTTGGCACAGCAAAGATCCTGGCCTTCTCCGTCTGCTGGCCTCTCCTTCCTGCCTCATCCCTCTCTCGTGGCCTCCTCCGCAGGCTCAGCAGGTGGCCTTGGGTGGGCTGGGAGTTGGGGTTCACCTTGTCTCTGTCCATCTTCTGCGTAACTCAATGTAACGTCCACCGTCTTCTCGTGAAGAGAGACGCAGGGAGCTGCTTCCTCTTGAGAGAGCGGCTCTCCTGGGACTGGGCACCCCAGGGCTCTGCGCCCCTTGGATACCCTCAGCCAGGCTGGGGCTCCCTGATGTCACAAGGCTCTCTGGCCACCACCGTGTCCCGCATCACAGAGGGCCCTGACCCCACGCGCCCGTGTCACAAAGGGCCACCGCCGGCAGCCCAACACCAGCGCAGCGGGCAGGAAGCGGCCCGGAGCAGCCCCCGGACCCCCTCGTGGCCTTGTGGCCCCTGCTGTGCCCAGAGCCCTGAGAGGCTTTGGCCACGCTGGCACACGTGTGCCAGCCCCAGCCCCGCACTGCAGAGCCCGGCCTTTGCAGCCTGCGCTGCCCCGGCCACGAGCAATTGGCCTTTGCAGCGACGTGCCAGGGAGCTGTGGGCAGCGGCTGCAGGTGCCGCGGGAGGCCGGGGAGCAGGGCTGGCCCTCAGGGCTGTGCCCGGCCAGCGGGGCTCGTCGCTGCCTTCAGCAGTGACACGCAGGGGCACCGAGCGCAGCCGCGGCGCCTCGGCCGGGCCCGGGGAGCTCAGCGGCCCAGGGGCACCACGCGAGGCCGGGGCCACCTGGCTCGGGGCAATGGCCGCGGCCCCGACTCTCGCAGCTCTCCCCTCGGCCGTGCGGCGCCACGGGGCCAGAGCCCGGGCCCGGGGCTCGCTCCCTGCTGCCAGCAGGGCGCTGCCGAGGGCTCCCCGCCCGCCGGGGCCGGGGCCGGCCGCTGAGGGAGCGGCGCCGCCATTGCTGCCGCCCTCAGGGGCTCTGAGGGGAGCGCGGC